AGCCGCTCTTAGCGTTGCTTAGCAGAATCCCAAATACCGAGCGCCCTGCCAACGAACTGAGGTGGCGGCAACAACAGGAGCTATGGGTAATACTAGATAGCAATGAGTAGCCGTAGCTGTCTTCTGGAATGGTTTGGGAGGGTCACGTGATAATCGGGACGTGACTGTGATGGTTCGTTGATGAAGACCAACTGTAGACAGTTCGTGGACAGCCTCAATGGTGGTGGGAAAAGATTCAAATGCTGGCTGAAACTTTGGTATTGGCAACGGTAGCATTGGTGGCAAATATCAAAATTCTTGGCGACATACACTTCTTTTTTACAATTGCTTATCTCTATCTATGAAGTTCAATGAAGTTTGGCCACGTTGAGAAACGTCATGCGAAATAAGCTTGTCAGCGAGGTTGGTTTACCATTGGCTTTAAATAGGCATTACAACGCGTAATACTGCATTGAGCACTGGCGGATCGACGAGAAAGAATTAACAGAATTTATTTTTGCAGTTCCTGTAACAGAACGAGACGGCGTCAAAACATGATTCGGAAAGAAGTTAAGTCGTAAGCTTGACTAAACTGAGCTCGACGGACAAATGGACGAACGGGAAAACAGCAGTTCGAAAGAGCAGGATGCCTTAACATGATCACTTAACGATTGTTAAACGGTACGAGATGTGTAGCAGGGACGCATTACAAAAGCTCGGTATCGCTTTAAATAAAATAAAAATAAATGATTAATGACGTCCCACTCTTGTCACGGCTGCTGCTTTCAGACGTCACTGCACTAAGTCCCGTGACGATACCAGGAACGTCCAAGTCCGTCTTGACTCCCGTCGACTAGCAAGTGCTGTCTTTCTCAACCCATGTGATTATACAAGTTCTTGCACAGACCGGAGCTGTTCCTGACTGAACAATTTGCCAGCCTGTCAAAAACTGCCATGAGTAACAATTGCTTTGCGCGTAGTGAATGGCTTCCCGTCATTGATGTCCTGGTGACTCATCATTTGTCGGATGATCGCAAAGCGCAGCTTTGTAAATCGATTTTAGGGCACAGACGTGCGTGGTTACCATGCCACAAAATCAACAGCGCAACGATCAATTTTGTATTTGCTGCAGAAATCAGAAACATCTACAATGAGACAACAACAGCAGTGGCAACAACGTAGCTCTGGTTGGGTAACATAGATGTGAAAAGCCATTCAGGTGGCGGCTATATTATCGCCAGTGGCACTATCTCACACATTTCAACCGTAAGAAACAATAGGAGTGCCGTCTGCTAACGGGCTGCTGTGCGCATTGGCTTCACTTCTCGCCACAGCGCGTTGCTGTGCATGAGAAGCCAGCGTCTCTTGAAGTATGTGAAGTTCTCCCAGACCGGGTGGAAAGCCTCAACTGCTCTCTGGTTAAGTTGAGTAAGCGGCTTCAGCAGCAGCAACAGCAACAGCAGTGATACCCCTGACACCAACCACAACAGTGGTATGGCCACCATAAAAAGCATCCAGCCAAAAAGACCCGTGTTAGTTTACTATAGTATCAATACTTTTAATGGCGGCTGACGATGGTGAAGCTTCCATTTCACAGAGCTTTACCATTCGTTCCTCGATACTCACTCGTCAGTGAGTGTCATGGCAGGTCTTCGTTTGACTAGGCTTTATAATTTTTGGCTTTTCACCCCCTGACTTCGTTTGTACTGAAGCAGCCTGCCATAGGTGGGCCAAACAGCTCACTTTAACCGGCGACTAGTCAATAGGCGCGTCAAAGATCGTGTTGCTGGTATTCCAACAGCCAAAGGTGAAGATACCTCGGAAACTGTTACTCCCTTGGCCGACATCGTCAGCATGGTCGTAACGGATCTGGCTTAAACACCGCACAAGCGAACCATATCACTAACCACAAACTTAGCTTCAGCTTAACCTTGTAGCAGTCGGTGGTAGTAGAGCCATCAAGTAAAGTATTACCCCTGGGCGACAGAGTCGGGGGCAGAAAATAAAAGGACTTCAACGGTTTGCGTTAATTTAACACAGAGGCCGTAGAAAAACTAAAATCAGCTGTAGCAAAGTTGATCGCCAGGGAGAAACTGTTTATCCTCTTACCTATATTAAGAGCAATTCATTTTACTGATTGAATTGTTCTTATGTAACTGTCGGCGTTGAACGGAAGATCAGCTCCTACATATATAATAGGTTGTTTTTTCTATCTAGATATCTATCACTGTTATCCTTAAGTTGCTGAAATTCGATTGGATACTAAAATTAGAATGAGCTTGTATATAAAAGCAACGGGATCGGGGCAAAGTAACTCTTTGTATTGGTCACTTACCATGGGCTTAATCTATAGAACACTACTCGACGTTTGACAGTATGAACTGACTTTCTTTTTTCCAATATAATTAACTAAAACTTGTACGCTCATGTTAGTCAAAATGAATATGAACACAGAAAGCTATCTAATTATTTAGTCAAAATGAATATGAACACAGAAAGCTATCTAATTATTCAAAACTCGACCGATTGTTGATGAAAATTTACTCACCGTTGTTTAGTAAATCTACATTAATATTAAAATATGGTCAGTTTACTAAGGGTACACAGATAAGTTAGATTCCACCGCGAAACAAACTTAGGATTGTAATTAACAGTTCATTTACCGTTCGCGCTTACTACACTACACTAGTATGACAGACTATCTGAATCCTTTGATGATAGCTCAGGAGTAACATGGCTGCTTATTAGTTTGCTTGGTTGGATATGACATTTCCCATTGTCAAAAATATGCAGGAATGCATTGCTCCTAGACGGACATACCGGTGGCATTGCAAGGTTCAGATCTTGTAGACGGAACAGATGAAAAACTCGACCGAATTTCGTTAGTCATTAACGTGTGGCGGTATCTATATAGATTCGTCAAAGCAAAAAAAAACGTTCCATTACGCCTAACTCTGCCAAAAAATGTAAGAACGTTTTTCAACTCCTATGCTATTTTGCGTTTATTATATAAATAATGTCTCTGCGTCGAGATAATTGCGGAGGGGAGTTCTACTGCTTTATCTGTTTCAAGCAACGGCAAGACCAACACAAGTTGGATGTGGCAAATGGCGTAAATCAATTAGCCAGTTCCTAGGATATAACTTCCGAATACAAATAGGATGGATGCGTGAAAATGATAACTCGCCAGGACGTAAATCACTAGCATGATAGACATATTCAAACAGATGACTGCAGTTTTCCCATGATTATTTTAATTGACCCGAAAACCACAGGTAGGGCTATACTCGATAAGTTGTGATGAGATATGAATACGAGTAAATGGATAATACTCGTCTGCATCATAGCAAATCGAATATGACTAGGTTCGGATTTCTCATGCACTAATAGTAAGATAGGATCGTCAATAGGTTTGTGCTACCCGATAAAAACTAATCTTTTTTTTTGTTTTGACTCTTATATAGTTACCGTACGTCGGTAAATAATGTCAGAAACAACAGAAATGAAGGCTTTTAGCGTCTGCCGCTTTTTGATATCAGCGTCTTTATCTTTTACATGCTACTTCCGCTCCTGTAAACGGGAAACCTTTTACAAAATAGATATAGGAAGCTTAGCAGTGGGCCCAAGGCCTTTAAAAGATCTATAGTGGAGAAAATAGTATAGTAAAAAGATGTCATTCAGAAGTATTGATAGGTTCCTCGTAGGTTTTATGACCCAGGTGCACGATTAAATTGTTCTGAGGCTGAAATGACCCACAATGCCATTGCTCATTTGATTATAAACATTACCACAATGTCTATAAATATTACATGAATAGATATTACACTAGGATATATAACGCTACGAATATGCGCTATATCAGATTGATAATGCAGTGTTCTATAGAGCGGAGATAAGGCAATGAGGTTACGATTGTGGTCTAGTAACTATTATTTTTCTCCGTGGTCATTTTGGGTTTATCTACTCTTCTCATGATAAAGAATATTTGATGAGCTTTTGTAGATCGCAAGGTCAACACTAGAAAATCGACACGACGCAAGTAATAGTAAACGTGGTAGCGACAGAGGAAATAAGCTCTTATCAGCACGAACTTGTCAAACATCCGTGAACTTCGAAAGCTTCGTTCGTGGCTGAAATATCGGTTTCACTGAAAAAAAAAAACAATACAACACACAAGGTATAGCTGAATAAAGTACCTAGAAATTGTAGAATCTACGGTACATTCTTAGATTGGTACACAGTAATGTTTATAAATGAATTTCTATTTGCGTGTATAACTCTCGAGTTAGATGGCTAGAAAGGATCCGCATGCCTCGCGTGATCAGCCCAGGTTGGATTACTCTTCCGATACACTTTGTTCCAGACATGTTTTACTGCTTATCTCAGTTGCCAAAAAGCTTTTTCATTGTAAAATGAGTGAACATCATAGCAAAAAAGACATTAAAATATTTGAACTATAATTTTTGTTTTACTAGCAGAAACGTACTTTGTACTACGTATAAACGAAGAGATGCGAGAGGAATCAATGAAAATTGACTATTCCAGTTTTCGGTTGAATAGATCAATCGCCAGTTACAATTCGTATCAACAAGGCCTGAAGCGGAAAACTAAGTGAACAGCAAGTTAACGGTAAAAGTGTAATACGCTAATTGTAGCATGCGACTAGTGGCGAACTAATGCAACCTGTGTGTATCCGACAATCTACAAAAAGAACTCCGATAATCTTCCGTTAACGTAACATATAGCCTGGCTTAAGTGGGCATTTATCCAGCATACTGATTTGGTGAACTAACTAAGAAAGTAGTGCAAATCGACGTCGAGTATGGCTAAAAAAATCATGCGCCTAATGTGCTTGAAAGCCTGTTTGGGCCTGAGTCAAATTAAAATGGCCATATATATCTGAACAATTTTTTAGGTGTGGCTTTCTCCGACACGACTATAATTGTATATACATTGTTCCGCTTACTGAATTTTGCGGAACACGAACAACTTTCATCTGTCCGTATTATAAAGCAACTTACCACTAAGTGTATTAAGGTCCTTAATGTGGAACTGTTGGTCATGTTGATTGAAATAGATTACCGCATGCCGCTTATCGACGGTCGTTGAGTTCACAAGAATATCGCACTCACTGCGGCCTACGAAGATCATCGATGGCTGTAACCGAATAGGTTTTGCGTCGTAGGGAAGCTTAAGGCTCCATTCACCCATTCTGCCCGACATCCTGAATTCGAAACGTTGTCGAACGCCACCGTTGTCAACTTTATTGACACCGACTCCGAAGTGCGACTGCGGCACGAATGACGACCACGGCTTTTATTGTGGCCGCTGGGAAAGTCGCTAACAGAAGTCGCGTAAACTGCTGGGGCTCTTGTCACCGATGTTATCGATAAGGCAGAACGATTCGTCCGGTAAATTGGGAACGACGGAACCACAGCTGCTGTTCTGATTCTATTGATGGCGGAAAAGTTTGAGGAGGCCAAGGTTGTCGCTGCCCCGATCATCAGCTGCTAACAAAAGGTAATCTGATTCCGTTTGAAATTTGTACAAGAAGGCGAGTCTGTTCTCCGTACGAGAACTGTGAATAAGCTGTACAAAATTAGCTTTTTTTGCCTCCAGAGTTACACTGAGCGCTGACGTTCACGTAGGTTCTAATCACCCCTTAGCCTGTTAATTGTTTAGGTGATATTACACATTTTTAGGATCAGGGTCTTCAGACACTTCCAGATAGAGCAAAAGGGATACAGAAGCATTTCACGCTAATATATCAACAATAGCATCGTAACATTTACACCCGCATACGCACGCGATTGACACAAAACACTGAACTCAACACTTCTCTCTTCTTTTGAACTGTTTCCTTAAGGCCGAGGACTATCTATAGTACAGGGGCTGCTCTCCATAGCTGACCTCATAATCATCGCACATACTCTACCTATCAGTGCGACAGATGCTACACCGGAAACTACTAAGTCTAGAGGCAGCAGCCCCAGAGGTTATTGCAGTACACAGTAATGTTGATGAATTCGCTTTTTTCCAAATCAGTATCACCTCCTTTTCGGACGTGTGGCTTCGCTGTGGCTCCCAGAAGCATTCTTCGTCGAAGGTAACCTGATCGTCTTGATCTCTCATCAAAATCACGTCGGACTTTATCACACTGCTGTTATATTCATTGTCGCAACAGCCGCGCCAGTACTTCCCGCTCATCCACACTCACCACCATGCACACACATCCTGAAAGAGATGCTTCTCTTATGCGTGGACGGGCGAGAACATCGTTGACAATGAGTGATCGCCATGCAACCGTACCACAAGGCGATGGATTATTTCTCCGTCAGCAGCTTTCCAATTGCCTACATTCACCATATATCGCCTCTGACTACGAGCAAGACACATCGTGTCTGCCGCTTAGGGAGCGTTCACGATATTGCTGGTTGCCGCCGATGCTGCCGTTGGCGCTGCCATTGCTCCTTGGATGGCAGTAGAGAGTCGACGGGTTGTCTAGTTTGTTGACGTCGTCTGCTAAACGGCTGTGCAAATCCACCCGATTGGGCGCTGACTAACAGCTGGGCTGCTTCAAAACAGTGGCGCGCTCTTTCCACTCGGTTATCCTCACCGCCTAAATACCGAGACCGCTGCGCTTGCCAACCCTGAGCCATTCAGAACATTAGCGGCTGGGCCACTGCAGCTGCTGTCAACCTAACCTATAATTTATCGCCAGTGACGTGGTTGACTGGGCTCGTAAAGAAGAGAGGGCCATTTGGACAATGCCAAAGTAGTGGCATTATCAGAAATTCTAATAGCGGTAATAGGATCGGGTGAAAACACCCCAGCCAGTGTGATGCGACACCGGACTTATGATGCCCGCGGCTGTTGATGGCAATGGGAGACGCGTTGGCAACAGTCACGATAGGCACAAGCTTATCCTGTGACAAAATATCATTGAAGACTAACCATAAAGACAAGTGGTCAGAGCGCCGCGAACTGATTTGAAATGAAGCATAAAGGAAGAGAATCGACACTCCGTTAAGGCATGTCGTGATTGTATGTTTAAGCGAAGTATAATAAGCGGCACATAAGTGGAAGCAGGTCTTGTCTACATAATGCATTCGCCCTTAATCTACTAAAAAAAAAGGTTGTAACAGGTTATTAAGTAAACTGAAATGCAGATTCTGGTTTGTTAAGGAAGCTTAGTTTTCACTAGGTGAGGACCAGAACGATCTATGTTTTTCGTATAGCTTATCAATATGAAAAACATAGAACAAGGTAACGATAGTCAGCATAATGCGAAAATATTTTCCTGTGATCTTTTAGCGTATTCTTCTCCATATAAAATATCATGAGAGATAATTAAATATGCGTACCCCAACGTTTACCCTTCTATCGAAATGAACATCGTTGTTTACCGGCTTTCCTTAGCTTTCATGTATGCATGTCAATCGCGCGATAAAGCTTTGCTCTCTACATTAATTTTTGATGTATAAGAAAGCTTCCGCTTTCCGCGGCCAATATTCGTGACCAATTCGCTAAAGCTTCTTTTTGCAATGATGTATAACTGTTTGCGAGTATGCAATCACACCGTTTCGGGGGTTAAAGTAGAAAACAGTAGCAATTTCTGTACAGCTGTTGCATCATACAGGTGAATAATTCGGCCTTAACTCTACGCGTACGTTGATGCATACGCGTTATACATGACGTTTCTAGAGCCATAACAAAGCAAGACTTCATTTTAAGGACTTGAGATATGAATCAATGCAATCAAGACAAAAACGATTCCTGACGCTCCTTCAATTGCCTTCTTCAAATTAATTAGTTCATATTGCTCTGACGATAGTCTAATGCTGATTGTTAAATAGAAATGCTAATCATTAATTCGTTTTAATCTTTATTGCTTTAAATAAAGATTGCGTGATCGAAGCCGGTACGTGATGTCAATATTGAATAAATTCGTAAACTTGGATGAGACTTCTTTCACGAACTTTCAGAAGTTCAGCTAGGTATTGCCAAATAATAAATAAGTACAGAAATAAACCAAGCCAATAAGTAAGCCACAAAGTATCGATATGTATAAAGTAAAGCGGGACAAATATAGTGCTCGACTCTCGTTGGGTTGAAATGCAAAAATGACGAAATGCTGTTTCTATGGCGAATAAGAAAAACATAGTCAGGGAGCGAGAATCCGTTATTTTCATACGGAATTAATCCCAAGAGAAACAGTTGCATTTATACTGAGAACGATCGTACGACACAGCTTTGCACTTAGGTGGTTCCAGTGGATAACCATGACAAATAAAACCTAATCTTTTTTAGACGCTTATTAGTAGTTTCCTTTAAAGCTATATAAACCAATTCGAGCGTTATCGTACTCCATTAAACGCGTAATTGAAATCCAAATGCAGATTGCATCGGTTCATCTTTATCCGAACAAATTCGAAGAAAACAGGATTACGTTATACATTACGATACGGCATATTGCCATATTTATTCAAATACGTTAAAACTACCTAAATTAATGGCCTCAATTCATATGATACGCCTAATCGCACCTATTACGTAGCACGCAAATTCACCGCCGTGGTAGCATGCGTTATAACTAAAAGCAAAATTAATTACTATAGGTTTTACTCAATGCTAACTCCTGCATACAATACAATCACAACGAGTATCGTCGTGATGATCCTATGATCCTGTAAGGTTCTCTGTGAAATGGTTCCCTGTAGATAATTTATGTAACAACAATCCATGGCGCATAATAAATAAAACAATGACAATTAGCTGGTCTATTTTCTTCTTTTTCAACGAAATAGATATATTTTCACCTTATTTCTGTGTTGTCCTGCAATGTCGTCAACGTGCTCCCACATTACGTAGAAATAGTAAATAAAACAAACATGAGCACATGAGCACAATAAACATGTACATATATGGGCCCGTCAGTATACGACGTAGAATAGACGTTCCCATTACAAATATGATATGCGTATTACAAATATATACAATCCCTGGCAATGTTGTATCGTCTTGTCCTGGATTTCTATTTGCCTCAGTCCGATACCAAAGATGGACCGACGGTGTCCGGTCTAAGTTTGCTGCGGAAGAATCGGTAGCTTTTCAACCCTTCACACATCGTCATATAACAACGGCAAAGATGGAGAATACTGCGTTCATTTTTGCCTTAGTCTTAATCGGTGTTTCCTCAGCAACAAAATACAAAAGCCCATGAGGTTATTGGTTGATTACGCTTTATTGTTCTTCGAGGCGGGACCAATGTGTACCTCATTGACTTTCTGGGCAAACTTCAACGAATTAAGAGTCTCATTGACGTGAGCGGTAGCTGGCGATACGTTGACGAACATGAGCGTCTTCGAATTTCCGCCCAACGACGTGGAAAGAAGATGAGTAAGCTTTGAGTTACGATACGGAACATGCGCCGCCTGTAATTAACCGAAGATAAAAATTAAACGAAGTCGTTGCAATGGCAAAAACGAGAGCGGAACCAACTTCATTAATAGAAACTTGTTTTTGGATGATAATATTTTATATAAATGCAATACCAAACCGATCATCTTTCTAATCACCTGGCTCGTATTCATTCCTTAAAAATATAGGTTATCTTTGAAGGTTGGTGGTTTATAACGTGACAAAACTAGAGTCAAAGGGGCCTGAGATTCGTCTTCATTTTTATACACATTCGCGTGGTGATAGGTCAGGGGCGCATCATTACGCCTACTACTTTTTTGTGTTCGGATGTAGTTCGTAACTTACTTTATTCCCAAGGCTCATCATAACGGTCGATAGTTGCGTCAACGACGAATTGATATTTTTTGTCTCTGTGAAGCGTGCACCCTCGGCGCCCGACTCCTTTACCCTCTCTGATCCCGCCAAATCGACGAGATTTAACGTACTTTCACGGTGCACCTCGTTGATCGAATTTCGAGCGGTAATACGCAATTGAAAGACGCAATGGGAACGGGATGAACGCTCATTGCACTTTGTCGCTGCTACTGAACGGTTCTTCCGGGCCTTCTCCATAAGCTGGGCGATCTGTCGCACCGACTTCACTGAAATGGAGACAAGGTTCTCGACGAATACCACTTCACCCTTCCTTGGATCGGTGGTCTGACGGATATTGCACTCTTTCGATTTGTTCTTGTCTAGCAGATCCTGAATGGTTTCGTTATAGATCTCAAGGAACGATGCTTCGAGTGTATATTCCCAGCCAAACTCGCAACGTTCTTCAGTCAGCTGAAAGACACGATGCAGCGAGCGTGGAATAATGCCGAAATGCCGCTCCTGGGAATCATCTTCAAATTCGAGCCCTGGCGGGCCTTCCATCGTATACGTTTTTCCGGAGCCGGTCTGGCCGTACGCGAAAATGCACACGTTGTAACCATCTAGCGCTGAGATCACAAGTTGTTCAACCTCTTCAAAGACGTCAAGCTGCGTGACGTCGGCGCCGAGCACACGATCAAACTGGAACAGTACAGGAATCGGTTTACCACCAGGTTTCGTATTTGGCTTTGCGACCGTTAGAGTCTCTTCAGGGGCAGTGGTCACGGCAGAGTCGCCCTCCTCTTCGCAGATGGGCCGTACTCTCGCAAACACCCGGATGTTACCTTTCAACTCGAGCATTTGATTATGAATGTAGCGTAGACGACTCTCGTTTTCGCGCATCCGTGCCTTAGCTGCATCCCGTTCGCGATTCGCTTCTTCAATTTCCGAAGTTAGGCGCCTTGTCTCATTGCGTTCGTTTTCGAGCAGATCGTCAAGCCGCTTATTTTCCGCTTCCTTTATGTCCATATCGCGTTTAAAAGAACGGTGCTCTCGATCTAAGATCTGATAGCTTTTCTCAAGTGTTTCGAGCTCGATAGCCTTTGATTCAAGACGACTTTTGAGTCGGCCGACCTCCGATTGCAGATCTTCAAGTTGACCGCTTAAGGTCATCTTGTCACGCTTCAAGCTCCTGTAGGCAAATGAGGGAAGTAATGGCAATTGTTCACACTAATTAGTTAATGTGAAGATTAAAAGCTCAATTAATTTGACCAAGACTAACTTGGGTGAGATCTTCGGATTTCGGAGTACACGTTGAGTGCCTCAAAATAATATTAAGATGTCCTGAACGCACCGAATTAAATAGAAAACAAACCTAAAATCACATTTCAAATTACTATTCGATCAAACTATGCAATATGTCATTTACCACTAAAAATTTATTTACCCAATCTCCTCGATACGTTCCTGTAGATCTTCCCTATAACGAGTTGTTTCGGCAGTTAATTCCTGTTTCTCTTGTATCAACTGATCCGCTTGTTCTTTAGCCGCCTATTCAAGACAATATCAAATTAACTTATAATGCTGTTCTTCCAATGGAACTCATCATTCCATATCATTATCCGTATCTTTCGGAAATTGAGTTTACATCTATTGAAGAAAAAAAAAAAGATTCAAACCCGAATCACACGCCAGCAACTAGAAATGAAGTGAAAATGTACGTGCAATGATAACAGTATCTACTTTGTCTTCATGAGATACTAAAACGAAACTAGGCGGCCCCCTAATACAGTCACAGTAAATTATCTTTATAAGAATCTATGAATATCAAAATGAGAGAACTGAGAAATCGCAATCAAAGTAAAAAATAAGGTCGCTTCAATAAAGCCTGATGACTATGTTCACTTTGATTTCTGTAACAAAGTCGCAACACTCCTGTTTATATCTGTAATACGATAGCGATCCGTTCTCAATTAACGCGAGTTTGCTACCCGTTTCAGGCCATCGGCAGACCGCAAAATTTGTGCAGACGGCCGATAAGTTGCACTCACAGAGTGGAAACATATGGACTATCTTTTTTTTTTTAAAAATACGCTTCTAGGGATCACTTTGGTAGATATGTAACCAGTATTTAAGTATTCGGTATATTCAAGTTCATCAAAATTTACTCGTTACAAAGCCGGTTTTATTAATAGAAAGAACAGTGTATATTGTCATATATACTGTTCTTTCTATACAAGACGATATATGTTTGTAAATTAATAGCAATAAGTAGGTTGATATAATACAAATGAAATATAACAATGCTACATAAAAATGTATTATCACAAGCATAGATAACAGCGTGAGGTAGACGGGACGCAATTAATAGCACCAATGAATATAACAAAACTAACCTGAGTATTTTCAGCCATCTGCTTTTCGAGAGCAACCAACTTCTCGCAAATCTCTTTTTGTGACCATTGCGGAGCTGTAATTTAATACATAAAATGCTGTTCAGATCAATATGTCCTATAATCTATTCAATATAATCGGCTGTTTCTGTAAAATGTTTTTGCGATCATTTATTTGGGCTGTTACAGCATTATTAAGAATAATGCTGTAACAGCCTTTGAACATTTATAAATATATAGGGGTGAAAAGATTTAGACCCCTAAATGTCACGTCTATATGATATTTTTGGGAAAATAAAATTTATGAGGATCAAGTAAAAAAAAACAATCGTAATAGAACGTAAAGCAGGCTAGAACAAATTCGAATTCTTATGGTGTTTGAAAAACACAATCGCCTTAGAGTTCGTTTTACCTTACAGTGGTGCCCGGTATTTTTATCGAATATATTTAACGAAGTCACAAACTCCCACTGCCATTTACATTCCGCGAATGTAGATACCAAATGAAGCATCGATGCGTCTCATGTCTGGCCTTCTAACTAACCTCGGCCGTTTGTTGTGGTCCTGCCAGCGAGTCCGGTTCGAGCACCAGTTATCGCTCTGGAGCCTACTGACGAAGCTGATGCCGATCGCGTTAAGCCCGTTCCAGCTCCTGCTCGGACTCCTGGCGTAGTACGACCTCCTGGTGTTGTGCGTCCGGCTGCGCCTGTTCCGAAGTTACGTCCGGTTGCGGGTGCGCGTTTAGGGGTCGTTCTATTGGCCCCCAGCGATGACACCACCGGTTTGGTGACCTCTGACCGGATCTTTTTTGTATCTGCTACCAGGTTACAGAGAAAAATAGGCCAAAAAATATTGCATTACTATTATTTTTGTTCACAGTGAAACATGTGCATATTTTGTTGTTAAATTATTATTAACTAACAATTATTATTTCTCGCAAACAAATCTGTGGGCAGAATAACGACTTACTAGTGGCGACATTTAGATTTGATTGGCTGAGAGGTCGCTTCAACTTTGATCCAGAACCGAGCTGTGTGGATCCCTGAAATAAATGTATATAAATAGCCATTGTTTTACTTTTCACTATACAGTTGGCTCTTGTACAAACTTATTCTGTATAGGTATAACTACATCCACCGGCCGGCTTTGACCCCGATGAGAAACAGATAGTGCTGTTAAACTCACTTACTTACAAATTCTAATTCGACTAAGGAAGTTTTGAACGTCGCATGATGTTACTCCACACAAGAATTTGAGTAGAAATAAATTGGGAGGGAAACTTTTCGCAAATAGAGTTTTGTATTACGTTACAGATTAGGATCGAATTCCAGTAATTTATGATCAATGCATTATAAATAACGAAGAGTATGAGAGTGCGTGGTAATTTTTAGAGAAAACCCAAGGCTTGCATAATACACCCTCATAACCCTACATCGCACTACGCAACCTCCCCTCAACATCGTGCCGCTTTTTTTTAATTCACGAGCTACGCATCTGCGCTAAAACCAACTGCTGGCACTCCATGAAACCAAACAGCGACAAAATCCAGGCTGGTAGCTATTAAGAAAAAGAGGTCGCGTTTCACATTCATAACGAAATTTATGGATAAATGGCTTACAGACTTTCGACAAATCTGAATAATTTACGGGGTTATTTTTGCTATAGTTAGTCTTTCGTAGTCATTCCTAAATTCTGACTAATTGTTTAGTGTTAATAAAGAAATTTCTTCTCTGAAATTGTTAGTAAAGTGAATCGAACGTAATGTACACGGCAAGTGGACATTTCATTCAGGACGGAAGACTAATATAATCGAGGAGGCTACACACGTAAAGAGTCACGTTGCCATTTCTGTGTGGAACTCGTATGGAGAAAACATACTAACGTTTCTATTTGACAATGAGCAATCACCTCTTGGCACGGTATATAACAATGGCTCCTACTTGTTCCGTTTGTTTAGTTAGATCCAAGTAGCGTTCCGTTTCTACCGTTGCCGAAACCTACAGGATCGTAAACAGTCAAAACATGAACGGGCATTTCGTGGTTTTTATTATTACGAATAAATCGAAGTAAGATAATCTAGATGTTCTCTTTAGTTGGGCTAGTCTTCTATGACTAATCATTTTTGATTAAGCCCTATCATAGGTGGTGTGACAAATTCCTACGAGTAGCTTTGGACTAGCGCAGATCACAAGAAGCTCCTTCGACTTCGCTGAACGCCCGCCAAACCGAAATTCACTCTAGGCATCGCTGAGTAAGCCAAATAATTAATACATACATTAGGATATCAACTAAATTTAGCTGAAAACTTACGCGAGCCGTTGGTACCATACTATTTCCAGCCGAAGCCTTTGAGGGCCGTAAACTGGACATTCTGCACAGCTTTCAAATGGCACGTCTCAGGGAGTCTCAATAAAGTTCACACAACGGATAGACACAAACACCAAATTGAACAACGATATTGTAGTTCTTAACTCTCCGATTCGACTACATTCGACGGGTTCGTTGTAGGTGAACTAAATTAGCCGCTATGTGAGTTCTGCCGCCAATCGGTGGCAGAATCAAATTTGAATCTATTCCGAAACCGGAAGTTAGTCTGCCGGCGCCAAATTTTAAATACACCTCTTCTGACAGATAAATCGTAATTTATTAAGAAGCTTAGTAATTTTAAATAGGATATTAAGTATTTGATTCGAATCGGCTCGAATAAATTAACAGGTAAACGCATACGGTTAAATAAATACTCATTGTTTATGAACGAACCGTTATTTGCTTGGCTTATTCTACAGAACTAGACTGATCTTGTATGACGTACAAATAGTTTACTTGAATTTTAGTCAACGAAATGATTAATAATTTTGCTTCATAGCGATGTGAGACTTCTCCGATCAAACTTGCGAATAGATACCGTTGCTAAAAGCAATAGCTTACTCTTGTTTATTATACCCAATTCTATCTACGTATATCAAACTTGCTAATAGATACCGTTGCTGAAAGCAATAGCTTACTCTTATGTATCATACCCAATTCCATCTACGTATATCAAAAATGACAAAAGAGGTCAGAGATGAAAAGATCTGCTCAATCTCTCCACAACAATAATTCACTTAACTGCTGGTAGAGTGTTAAGATTCTTTTGGTTTCTAGAAAAAATTCAAATAAGTAAAGCAAAAGCCCTCAAGACAATTTTCGAAGTAACATCGATACGTGATACCAAATACAAGCGAATCATAGAGTGATAATTCCAAATAAATCAGGCTAGTCGACTGAGATAACAAATCGCCCGGTCATAATATCCAGGTCTTGTTTTCATTTAGCTACAACCACGTGATTCATCCACGCGTTATTGTGCAAGTGCCCTTTCCACTTCGTCATTAACTTCTGCTGAATCCTTCGCCATTGTACTCGACAGCTGCTCGAAGCAGCCTATAGTGCTGCCACTGTCGATAATACAAGGTTCGACAGGAACGGTATCTGGTGTTGCGTTTGGTATACAGCGCAGCATTAAGGCAATAGAAGCCATCTAGCCAGTCCGTTCTCAACAGCAGGCGGTCGCGACTGAGCTAGCAAACAGGCGACATAACTAGAGGATATAAGTGTGTCTGCTTGCCCGTCGCTCCATTATCATTTCCTTGTGTCTGGCCAGTTGTCTCAATGACGGATCACTGCAACATATAACAATAGAAATTATACTATTATTAGTACTTCTTCTTTTTCTATGCTGTTAATGCAACAGCGGCTGCTTTCGCCTCCGGCGCCACCGTTGCTGCCTGTTGTCTAAGGGACACCAGCATCGTCGTAGTCGGGTCGCTGTCCCCTTTGCTAGTACTGCAGCTTCAGCCGGTTCCACAGCAGCAGCAGCAGCAGCAGTAGCATAGACAGCACAGCAGTCAGTCAATCAGTTGACTACTATGAGCCACAGCGTGCTCGAGAGCGAGCCTAAAGCGTATGTCTCTCTGTGAGTGCGTGTCCCGTCTCTCTCGGTGTGGCCTGTCTCGTGTTACTGCCATAGTGTCGACACAAGTGAATTGCATACCGTCGCTACCGCCGCTATGTTGTTCGCCGTAATTCAGTGAGAGTCCAGTGCCTCTGTCAGCCTGTTGTGCGTACTAGTCGGTCGGGGCATCTGGCAACGGCACCACGCATTCAACGTCCCGTAGTTAATGAAACAGCAAGGCTGAGCGTCGACGAAGGCCAGTGTTTGACGAATTTAGTGATACTCGGTCATTTTGCGCGTGCCTCTGCGAGTTGGAGCAAGCATTTGTTTTCTGCACCAAATCTGTTTGGGAGTGAGGAGAGTGAAGTCGACACGAGTGAATGCTGAGTTACAACTTCTGGGTCTAGCAGCCGAGTCGTCTACGGGGTTGCGTCTGAATCGTGCTGTGTTCAGGGTTCTGAGCTGGATGATTGTTCGGTTTCTCTGCACTGGACGGGACAGAACGCATTCGCTGCAATCGGTGTCATCTAGACGCCTTCACAGGAGGTAAGTTAATAAGATTGATGCACAAAAGTGAAGTGAGTACACTCCCTGTGAAAACCTTGTAAGGGAACGCGCAAACCATAACAGTATGTCAATTGTCTGTTTTTCGGCATCAGATTTTGACTCTGATAACGACAGTAGCCGGACATAAGACTCAAGCATTTATACTTATTTCGATCTTGATTGTAATTTAATTTATATTACTAAGTTGCATCTATTCTTTGACGTTCTAGTCTTCAAAGCGTATTTTTTTTATGGTTGAACCAGCGGAGAAAGGAAAGATTATCTGGGCCTACTATCCGTTCGGCCTTCGTCAAACTTCGCTTCGAAGCAATCGTGATTCGTTCGTTCGTTCAGCTGCTGCTCCTGTGGCTATAGCGAGTATCTTGGACGATTTGTCTCGGGCGTTCCTCGAGCTGTGTTCGTCTTCAATGTACGCGCAGCCTTGTAAAGCGACTCAATGGTGCTATCGCAAGAGTGCGAATTGCTAACAAAAGTGGAACGCAACTGGAGTAGATGTCGATGGTGGTTAGGGCCCAGTTAAGTGCTACCGAGCTGCTTGTAAGTGAAGCATACTTATTCATTAATAGATATTACGGATGATACTGTTATATCTGTCAATCATACTTGTGAAATGAGTAGCGTCAGGATCTACAGATCCACGAACATCGAGGATGATCACAGCATTTGCAGCACGAAAAATATGTTGTTGTTGTTTATGGCGATCGGTGCTGTTGCCACCGTCGCGCTGCGTTTGAGTGCTACTTTCCTCTTGTACGTTCTTGCATAACCGCTGGAGCATTCGAGACGTCATTGCAGTGGCAACAGAAGAAAAATACGAGAGAGTACTTCTGGTCATCTATTCCGGCCATCACTAGGTTCAGGCCGGATAGACGGCCTGCAGCGACCATAAACTTCGACAATTAGTTGAGGTTGTAGTATGTTTTGAATTAATAGATCAGTTTTTGCGTAGCTGGATTTTGATGTGGTACAGCGCTTAGTTACAGTTGGAAATGGGAATGTCGCGTCGACATTAACTCCGTCGTTAATTTTTTGGGAGTCGTAGTACATTGAGAACAAATGTACAAGTAGTGTTGGTAGAATGGCAGTGGGAAAAACGATGAATATTGAAATAATCGCTTGTCCTGTTTGGTCCCTCCGAATTGCTCGCGTTGGTACGCCTACTCTGGCAGACTTGTGAAGTAATGCTAGAAAACAAGTTTTGCTTGATTGTCACTTAGTCGGCCAATGATGGTTAGCAAACGTTTTGCTTCAGGCGTTTCCGCCTACAGCTTCATCGCGAATTTTCCTAGCAGACTCACGATAACAACAAACTGACAAGAAATCTTAATTCATAGCTGACCTCATTACCGACGGTCAGTGGGGAGCTGCGAACTCAATCTGTTAGCCTGTGTATTTATCGAAAGCAATAAGAATCAACCAAGAAAACACCTGTCTATGTGACATGCTCTTCGGGTATTGATACCAGCGATCGTCTCTAACGTTTGATAATCTCTCATTATTGTTAGAACTACTCGATATGTGTATCATAATGTTGAATCCATATACATCTTCAATCGTTACTTAAGCACTGATGTTTTTGTTCGCTACTTCTATTGAGGTTCTACAACTTGAACGATGGTCAATGATCTGTTCCTTGCAGCTTAATGCCTACTACACATAATTCAGGTATGTCATTTTAGACTGTCCTTAGTTAGCTGTTATCGTTGTGTCGTTGCTCTAACAGTTTTTTTTTTATCTGCACATACTTGGCTGTATTGTTTAGCCAGCGACATAACTATTGCTATTACTAGCCGCGTTGTCATGTGTGCTTTTGTTTGCTGCCCTGTGTTCATTGTTTACTATTAGGACAAGCAGTGGATTTAAGCAACAAATAGATATACATAACAATTTCGATCTCCCTTACTGTTGTTAGCTCCGTTGTCATAGTTGCAAGATGCCGTTTTACTGCGCCTGTCTGCTGCTTCACGTACCTTTGCTGTGTGGTCCTAATTCTGTGGCAGTAGCCGCCACCGTCGTTGTTACATGAGCTGCCCAGCTGTCTCGACGTTTTGCCGCTGCCATGTTTATCTATTATGTTCGTCTGTGACGATGTTGTCGATCGGCGAGATGGGCCATCGGGAGACGCCGCTGTTGTCTTTTACCGCCAGTCTTTACAGTGACCCAACGTTAACACAATTGCACCGCTGCTAGTGGTGATGGCGCAAATCTTACTATTGCGCTACTCGATCGACGAAGAGCTAACCGGCGTCGTCAGTGCCGTCCAATGACCAACAGTCAACAGCGGCGGCAACAAACGGCCACAGCCAACCGAACGGTGGTAAACCATCATGGTAACTTTGTGAACCCTAGTAACTGTAACGGTTCTACTGTCGTTACCACTATAACTACTAAGATGGCGCTAGCGCTGCAGTTGTTGTCATTTTTGCTGTTATTTTGGCTGCTGCTGAGTTCAGGGCCCTTTCAAGGCAACGACACGCCTGCCTGCACGTCTGCCTCTCCGTGCTATTTCATATGGGAACTGTCCTAGCAGGCGCTGGTTATCTCCTGCACTACATTCGTTGTCGAGACTTCACCCTTACAGCTACCAGTCAAACAGTAGTAACAAGAGTTACGTCGCGCGTTCGAACTGTTGATAATGTCTCCGCTGGGGCGAGGCGAGGAACCACATTCGCGTACTAGTAGCTGAAAAATTTCGCCCCGGTAGAGATATGCTCTGCGGGTCTGGCCCTTTGCAGCACGCTACCTTAACTGGCTGGGGTATTCTGCGGGTTGTATGTTTTGTTCACATGTATAATGAATATGTGTATGTCGGCCATCCGTGTATTTATCTGATCGTTGTCTGTTTTGGCCTCCATCCATGTCCATGTAGGTAAACGCAGCTGGCGATTGTGCAATGCTCGGTGGCTGGAACTATCATTGCAGTAGTGATGTCTAAGCAGCACGCTGATAATGTGCGAAATTCTCTCAACAAAGTAGCAGCAGTAACGCCAGGAGAGACTGCGGCCATAATTCCGCATTGCAATTCCATTGACGGCAATAACCGTGACGGCAATTGGTAGTCGGCGCTGGTTGCAATCCTCTCAGCGTCTGCTGCTGCTGCTGGGCCTGTGCCTGTTTCCGACGCTGCTTCCACAGGCAGAACAGAACCTGCTAGTCGCAGCGCGTCTGTATCGTAACGGCAGTTTGACAACAGCAGCGAGCATTGCATCTATCATCAGTAGCCGCTGGTACAGTGACGTTGTCCGATTGACTCCGCTGCTACTAGCTTATAATTCTCCTATATATCTATTAATCGACGGGATATGGTATATATACTAGCGAGAGGCGCGCCACTTTGGACGGTATTATAACGTTTACGTGTTTCACATTGAGTTGCTATTGGGTAATGTGTTAGTTGGTGGTCTACCCATCAGCTTCGTACTTAGCTGGCACGTTTTTTTCTATCTATGTGTGTGTTCGAACCTGTGTGGAGGTTACTTGAACAATTACTTCCTCCCCCATTCCCACGATTTCGGTGAGCAACGACAAAATGGGTCGTGCAGCGGAGGAGCGACTGTCTGACACGCGGGTAGGTCTTTAAGCTTTGGATAGTGATCACGTCCAGTGTTCAGTAGTAGTGTTTTTAGCGGTTAAGCTGCCGCATCTCGGTTCAGTTTGCATTCGATTGCGAGTGGGCTTGGGTACAATTTAATGAAGCTTCGTTATTCGTCTGAGCTTTCGTTGTTTGGTACCTGTTGGAAATCTCTCAATTTATCCACACCGTTAAACACTACATTTATTCATGCGCGTAGCTGAAGCAAAAAGTACACAGCATAGTTAGACGTTGTAAGATTGCGCCGTAGTAAGTGCACCAGTTTTATGTTAATTTCAAAGAATAGTAAGCGCTTAACCCCGGTGTTCAATGATTATGCTGGAGAAACAGCACAATGCCTGGAACCGGCACTTTTTTAAAAGGGCATTAAACTGGCGAACGTAGATAGGCACAACTGCCAGCACAAATTTCTGTTTAAACGAATGTGTCTGCTATATGACGGCGGTGCTGCGGTCTCAGATGACTCAGCTGTTGCAACTGGCGCGGGATCAGCGGACTTTTGCGGGCCAGGAGAAAGTAGAACGCGGAAGTAAGATTGTTCCTATCAAGTTATTGTAAGCGGTTGTTGTTTTTTTTTGACTGCTTAGAGTAGATGCACATGGCGGCTGACCATAACAGCTGCCAATGCAATGAAGGATCTGTGCCCTATTTGAGTGTATCCAGAAGGAATAAACCTACATGAATTATAACGAGGCTGCTATAAAATAGAGAACGAAAAAAAGAGCTTTCCGAATGTTATCCTTTTGTTTAGAGTCAAGAAAGCCTGATTCAATCGTTCAGGTTTGATGGATTCTTCTTTGGGAAACTGATGGTAGCTAGACGCGGTTGCGTAAAGAAAGTCCACTGCAAACTTGCCCTTATTTTCTTTGTATATTGAGTGTTGTATAGTGGTCGGTTCCTCGACAGAAACTCGGTTATCGCATTCGATATCATTAACGTTATGAGTGATTACCAAGCGTTACGTGGGATGGTAACCGTTCATAAGCTTGCAACAAAGGCCAAATTGTGCTAGCACAGTGGAAATTTCGATTCTGTGTTTGTTGTTATGCAGTTTCGTTAACGAGTGGGGATTGAATAAAATCTAATCATTGCCTTTGATTCTTTCTTACTTTTGGAAACGAGTGTGTGTAAGGATTTCTTTTTCCTTAACGCTAGATAGTTCAGACCTCAAATCATCGAGAAATATGTAGATTAGAGACTCGCTCAAAAACCAAAAATGAAAACTAAATATAATCATATGTTTTAGAAAATAGGATCAAAACAAAAAAATATTTTCTACCATTTCAATCACAACACAAAACCTCTTTCCATATACAATCTTCTTAGTATAATAACATTGAAATGAGTCGACCTAACGTACTACAATATCATGATGAACATTTACCACTGCAGTTGTTGAAACTGGAGTTGAGCCCGTAAGACCAATCGACAATCGTCGCAAGAATTTAAAACAAAGTAATTTTCGCTCATTGACGCGAACGTCTAACCTTTCGTTTGATTTAACGTTTTTTTTACCTCCCCACTCCCGCTTCTACTAAAATTGATACATGTTTCACCCTAGGCCATTCCCTCGTTGTTTGTGTTTACTTAGTAAGTCATAGGGTCTAATAGCGATTTTTTTCGACCGATTTAAATTGTCCACACAATCCAATAGCTGGATTCTGCAGCTGACATTTTCGCTATCATCAACAGCAATGGCGCCTATTATAGAGAGTGGCGCCATTAGCTGGCGACAAGATCTAGTCCACTGCCGACTATTGCCTCTCGTGCAGCTGCTGCGACTCGCGTGCCGAACTCAACGGCGAACGCTGATGTTGATGTCACCTTTCTTCTATCCGTATCAACACGCACTGCGCAATATAGCGAAACAAAAAAACACGTATAGAGCATCTCGTGGATTGCTGCTGATAGACTTTGCTGGGTTATTACGCCTCGTATAGAGTGCGCGCTCGATTGATTTAGTTGAATGCTGATAAAGTATAGGTGGCCCATGGTAGCGTATTCGTTTGTGATATAGTTGCAGTGGAAATTGGTTTTGATATAATACTTGCTTTATAAGTGAAACCTATCGAATAGCTATTACAACACCATAGCTCGTTGTTGGCGATTTCGTAAATGCTGTTATTTCCGTATTTGGCTTCGAGTGGGTCGAGGATGTGGTAACTGAGTATTAAATTTTATTTAAAATGATGTGAACATTCTGTGAGAGAAATAAGCAACGGGAGTTCTATGTTTAGAAGTGCCGTCAGGCGGCTGCATTGGCTGAAGCGTTAAAAGGGGGTTAGAGGGGATGACAGTTATTTTTCTGGCAGCTTCACTGTCGACTCCTTCGTCATCGTCATCAGAAGATGAAGAGAAATTTTTATAGCGTCAATGAGATGTAGAACGCTCGCGCCTCTGGATCGAATACGACCTTTCGCGCCGTAATTGTAGCTTAACAGGAAGGGAAACCTCCAGTTAAGAAATCTAGCTGTTTTGCCCTATGTGTTGACCAACATTTATCCCCGTCGAAAACAACCTCATATTGACAAACAGCCGGTATTAACAATTACCGTCCATTTTATTAGAGTTTTTTTAATTGTTGCTGTTTACCAGATGTATTCATAAAGTAGCTTTGCTGGCCTTACGTAGCGCATGTTACGATGGGGTCCATTTTGCGTCATTGCCTGAAAAGTTACGAAGCACAGTCACGAAGGCATTCACATAACCTTAATATTATGATGGTGACACAATATCGAACTTTCCGTAGGAGCGGTGCCAAAACCGGCTTCTTATTCTGGTGACCTCTCTACTGAGGTATCACATTCAGTACGTGGCTAATCAATTAGCTATCTTCACTTATTTTGTATTGTTTTTGTAATTCGCCAACGAAAGCAGCACTGGCCTTGTCAGGGTCGTGTCACTCTGAAAGATCTAACCAAACACGATTGATTTCAACGTACAAAGCTTTTTGTAGTGTCTGCACATAACTGACGTAGTAATACGTACGAATAATAATAAATGGCTGCGTAAAAAATACTATCTATTCATTGATATCTAGTGTGTACATTGTACCGTGTAAACGTGTGTTTACTTATTCTTTGATATGGTCGATAAAGGGCGCATGCTTTTCGCGTGCGCCCGTCCTAGGGTACGTTACCGAAAGTATCGTATAACTGTGTGCATGTGTCAGGCAGACTGTTCCCATGTTGCGTCTTGGATCACGCTAGAGTGAGTAGCGTGTACCTGATGCTAGAGTTCATACAAATTCACGGTACAGACACGTATCTATCCAAAATGTCTAGGAAAAAATCTAGCATACGTGCGCTGCTTCTTTTTGCTGCTAGCAAGTTTTTATTTGCTTGTATTACGCATGTGCCGATTAGTACGGTTGATAGTACTGCTGGAACTGCAAGATAATCTAAAGATTTCAATAGAAATTTAATTTTTCAATAGATATCACTGCTTTTAGCAGTTTAAGGACAAACTTGTCCGCTTGTTAAACGAGTATCTTCACTAAAATCATTAACATTGCTTGTTCGAGTAAATGGGTCGCTATAGAAAAAAATACAAGATAATATTGCATCGCCAGGTGCATCAGTCGATTTTTTACGGCTATGCATCGAACTAGGCGACATGAGTTCAAGGCTCACATGAAGGTTACACGTCTTTTGATCGATGAAGTAATTAGTTGCCAACATTCTTGTCCATAGTAAGGATTAAGAATGCGTTTCACTTTGACAGTGAGCTTCTATAATTTATGCTACAAAACGACTCAATCGGCCTTATTACTTCTGCACTGTCGTTTGCTGAAAGCAAGATTCTAATATATTCGCTTGTCCGGGGTGGTTGATCTGTTTTTGAGAAAAGACCTATTTACCTTAAACACGTTAGCACCGGCAAGTTTGTACACTCCTAACCCGCATGCACACACAGATGCACAATCAACATAGCAGTATTTCCTTGATCGCTTTCCTGTGTACCTGACAAGATTCGAACTCTTAAGGTTCGAACAAAGGATCGTCCAACGAAACATAACGCGAATAACTGAATCAAATAACCTGGTTTTGTGTTTATGCAAAAGTTCACTCGCTATCGCCGACAGTTGACATTGTTTTTGTTAAAATCAATTGCATATGGGATTCAAATTTTTCATTTTGACAACGATTACATTCAACGTGATTCCCGGTTTGCGAATTTTCACCCATTATCAGGCTTTGTTTACCTTGACCTGCGTCAACAGGTTCTTAGGTTATCAACGTAGCTGCCTATGCACTCTATCGGAAGTTCACTGTCCGTTCGAGGAAATCCGTCTGTTACATAATGCGGAGTGTGCGAAATTTTATTTTGTCTATACTTCAGCGTACGTTATCGTACAATTGACAATGCGTTTAGGTGCGCTTTTTTACGAATGACTGAGGTGGGGATTTGGGATTTCATGTTAGCGCCTTCGGTTCGTTTTCTAAATATGCCATACATAACGAATTGTCGTTGGTACGATGTTTTACTTTGTAGATGCGATGTTCAAGTTCTTGGAGTACGCCTTTATCTCACCGGTGATGCAGCGATAACCAGATTGGAGTAATTTTGTGGACACGGCCTAAACGTGCCGAGGTCGCGAACATCACTGATTATCTGGGTCAATGAGTCGTCCATAAAACTTGAGTTTGTTTAAAAAAAGCCTCAATACCACCCTAATCTCAGTAACAGGATATCCGTCGACATAGCCGTAGACTAAAGGCCACAAAGTTTCGCTTCACGGTTTCAAGATATGGGAAACTGTTTAAAGGGCGTTGGCGGCGATAGTCTATCGCTTCTACGAGAGCCAAGGGATTCTCTGAGCTCCCCAGGGGATGCGTTGGGCCCACCTCCACCGTATCAGCTAACACATGTGAGTATTGATACCCTGCATCGCCTTCAACGAAACTGCGAATTCAAAGAAGTACGATAGTTACATAGAGCGCATAGAACTTCGGCAAGTAAACAAAAACTTTGACGTAAAAACGATGTCTACGTGCGATTTTGACATTGCAGACCAGCATCATCATCATGCCAACCTAGCTAAATATTAGTTTGAGTGCAACGAAATTCGCGCAAAAACACTATTATTTAAAGAAACGAGTGATATTCAATTGATAATTAATACTGATTTTGAGTGAAAGACCAATTGTTCTAAATAGCATAAATTATTTGAGTAGATTGAATCGAGTAGTCTAGGTAGGTTCATCCTCTATTGACCTAATTCGGTTCACCCATCACCCGTTACTACGCACCGGGTATTACAGGAATCCGTACATCTTCCACAATTTTTATCAACACCAGCGCCCTCACATCCCGCGGGGGCACCTGTCGTTTCGGTTGGTGGAATTCCTCGGAGTACTCAGGAGCTTGAAGAGATCAAACATGCGCAAAGACAAGGATTCATCCGGCACTTACCGAAGGTACTGGCTAAAGAGAAAACGGAGGCAATTGACATGTTGACTAAATAGCGGGGGACTATTGAGAGGAGTAAATAGTGAGACAGAAATAGCGCCCACGAACGATGTGGTCTTGTACCTATCGTCGCAATAGGCTGGTTATTGACTATTTGGTATTCAGAATGAAAAAAATCGACTTTTTTTTGTTTTTGTTCTTTTGAAAAAAACGTATGTGTGTGTGCACATGCTTCAGTTAGTACCGTGGTTAGTGTTATCAACAATTTCGCCTGGATATCGAGGTATTATTTACGAACACTTAATTGCCCCGCTACACAATTAAGGCTTTCATCGGTATTGCACACGCCGATGTGTTTACACTTGTCGTGTGTCATTTAGACTGGGCGAATGAACATGAAAGCACGTCCGACATAACATTAATCTGTCATTAACGTGAATTGGGCAGACCAATACAGAGCGGAACAACCTTCTGAAATTGTTTAACACTTTTATTTTTGCTACATGTTGCTTTCCTGCATTCCCTTTAATGAAATACAAATTTTGGGTTTATTGAAAAACCGCACACGTTTAAATTATTGGCAAAACAAGGGTTACACAAGTATTACATTTCATAGGATATTTTGAAGCATAATTACTGTGCTATAACATTGTCGCTATGTTACTTGTTGAGTATGATTATCCTTTTTAAATCCTTTTTATGCGCTTAAGAAATTCTCTTTTACCGAGATGAGTAAAGTGGTGGCACAGTTTATACAAATATCAATTGTAGGTGAAATGCGCCATGTCTCTATAAAGTCTTCGTGTTTAAAGAGCTTTTTGATTTAAAACCGCTGTAATTTTCGACATTATCAAAGTTTCACCTTCCTTGGGACGCTAAGGTGGTTCAAGAAAAAAAATCAAACACAACTTTGTTAGAGATTCTTGTATATAATACCTAGGCTAATTTACTATACCTATAACACAAACAAAGAACTTAAAACACAACAGTTAAAATCAAGCAGTTCCAAGCGAAATTAGGTCTGGAGCATTTAAGCTCTTTAATCAATCAGAAATACGTAAGAAATCATCAAGGTCTATATATACACGTCCTATCATTGAGCACCTGACATACTATCTGGTGGTATTTTTACTGAATTACATAATCTAGGTTGTGTGATTACATAAGACAGAAACATAACTAGAGCATTAGTCAGGGTATTTCTACCTTTCACGTACGATTGCCGTCTCGATTTCAGGGCCCATTTGACGGCAGCGGCCGTCAAGAGTGTCCTATTTGTATGGGTGAACTGGCTCTGGGGGAACCGGTTCGCTTCCTGCCATGTCTTCACTGTTACCACGTAGAGTGCATCGACGATTGGCTTCTCCGGTCACTCACGTGTCCGTCATGCCTCGAGCCTGTTGATGCCGCTTTGCTTTCGTCCTACCAGGCGCCCTGAAGAAACCAAATATGAAAACAAAACGCGCTTCCGACAGAATTTATCGGAGATACAAAGGAACCAAACCAGAAAATCAAGGAGGACCATAAGGCCCGCAAACTGTTGAACCACTCCAATGTTCACAGGCTGATGTAAGTTTTGGACCAGCAAGCTAAGCCGATATGAAGGCTATTATAACATTCCTCCGCCGTAGACTCAAGCGTACGAAGACTGCTGCTCTCGGATCTTTCGGCTAGGCGGTTTAGCATGAAACTTCGAGAACGGAAAGCGGGGTCATTAGATCGCTTGTTACTTACTTTGTTCCCCTAAAAACTGGCCCACTCACAGAAAACGGGTTCGATCCTAAATACAGGGTTTTTCTTAGATACGTTTGACAGTGGCGTCATTGGTCCTCCGTCCATCAAGGACAAAGCCGTGGAACGAAGTAGACTGGAGCAGAAGACGACTGGAGCAGTCCTTGATGGTGCAAGTATCAAAAAAACGATATACGTGTAAATACGCTTAGGTTAACGATTGACGCTTCGTGAAGTTCTATACCCGACCCAGCAAGAACGGTTCTAGGGAAGACAGAACTAGAAAAGTGGACGCAAGAATCGACTCGAGTAGTTCAGCAGAAAGTGAAGACATTAATATTGATGTACAACGAATTACGTCCGCAGCGTGTACGCAATCAAGAGTAGCACAGCTCAGTAAAACTTCACACTTTTGTTTGTTCAGGTCAAAATGCATTCGCAGCGTTCGAGTTCTCCGTGCACTTTTTAACCATGTGTAGGCGGAAATCAGAACTGTATTCGACAAAACCACGCCAGTCGCCCAGTGAAAGGACCTGGGCACGAGTGATAACTAGATCTATTCATGTCTAATGTGGATGTTTGGTGATAGATAAATGCCAATGGCATCGCTTATTGCTTTGATTTGACTACAAAAGGAGCAGCGGAAAACCTGAACAAGATAAATAGATACTGAAAAATCATTGTCATATGTTCTGTGACACACATGTACCGACTATTACGATTTCCACGTTCATTGTATATATTTGTTTGGTTATATCATCATCCATTTAGGTGGCTATTACTCTGTTCAGTTCCGAGCCACGTATATTCTTTTTCGCAGTTATTATATGTGCGTGTATACAATGTTGGTATATGCCAATGTTATGCTTGGTTCAATCATAATTTGAGGTCGTAGAATTCGTAGTGGCAGTTGAAACAGTGGCAATAAACAGGTTATCAGACGGAACAACTGGGAGTGAAGACGTGAGAAAAAAAGATCAGCAGAGGAGAAATGTGCTGCGTTCCTCGTGTGCGTGACTGACACATTTCACGAGATAACTGTGCTTTACAAAGAGACTGGCTATACTTAGAACGGGTAGGCGAGTCTATGGTGATATTTGAACCTAGTATACAGAGTGTGATCGCAATTTTTCGTTGTTTTCCCTTTGCTATGAGTAACCTCTAAGTTAAGTTCATATAGTTGGTCATCGTAGCAGTCTTACGATTGAATTGTTTTTGGCTCTTCAAATTCTTTTAGTGATAATGACGATAACATGTTAGATGAACGGCGGCAAAGAAAGGCGAGCACCGCCTGGAAGCAGATTGCCTTTAGCTGTTCTCGAAACTCTTAACTTATAGAGCCAGATAGAACTTTGCAAAAATCCTATACGGCAAAAAACCTAACACAAACGAGAAATGAGCGGAACGCGATGGTTCACATATGTATATATTAATGAATTTTTCGAGCGCTAGCTACATTGCAGGTAAGCTTAGAACGAAAGTAGGGGAACGTAAACAGACGTCAATAAGTTATTGATAGAAACTTTGAGAGTGATTTTGTTCGTCAACTGTCTACCGGATCATCTGTACAGATATCTTAGCATTTTGCTGTTATTATGGATGTTCGATCGGCAGCAACAGCACGATAGGCTGAATGACGTGAAGACGTCCTGCTGCGTAGTAGCTGACTGCACGACACGATAATACGTTACATCTGTATAAGTGATATGATAATGAGGCGGAACGTCGGAATTTTACGTGTATATATACACACAACTGTACATAAGTCATGTACGTGGTATTACTGTGATGGCTGTCTGTGTGCGCGTCTGTCACACAAACAGCAACACGACACAAAAAAGCGACAATAAAACAACAGTGTATAAGATCGTATGAACCAGTTTAAATCGAATGGAAATTTTTCCTAAATGAAAAATGCATCTAACCGCTTGCTGCTGCTGCTGCTGCTGCTATTTCCCCTTAGACAAAATTGAATAGATTGTTCGTCATCTAACATGATGATATTTTACTATCGATTCTCTTAATCCATCCCTTGTGTGACCGCTTGTCAACGAAAACACGCGTCGTGCTAAATAAAAATAGCTCGACACGAACAGAATTTTCGTGCGCGTAAAAATAAAACTCAGCTGAAAAGAAGACTTGGCTGGGAGATCTATGACGTTTGTGAATTCTATCAAATTATTTTTCATATTATTGTAATTTTAATCAAGATAACTACAGTTCGAGTTCTCATTTGTCTACGGTACTGAAATAGGGGACGGGGGCGCTTTATGGGGCAAAATTTGCTTAGCTGGAGACAGCTGGTGCCAGGAATCATTCGTTTTGCAGAAAATGTCAATTGAAAACTTTTTATTGTTGTATAAGGTGTTGCCTTATTGGCCTTTAATGGTTTCGTGTAAAGAAATCTGTCATTGAACAAAGCTAAAGGAAAATGTTCTAGGCTGTCGTTGCGACTAAATAAGTCGATTGTTTTTGATCATCTATTGCCGAGTTAGGAAAGTTGAACATAATGATTCATCTACGATAGGTCTACATGCTGCGCAAAGTAAAGCCACCATCTCTAGGCTTGACTGCACTAAATAATTCTGACATAAATAATTATCCACAATAAATTTAACAATAAAACTAATATTCTATAATCACGAAAATTCAATTTTATGCATAGGCCAACGATGTTGTTTTGTACGAATGATACGTTACGCTTATTATTTTGTGACACGTTGCTGACAGCAACGATATATGGTACGACAGAAGCGAAACTGCGATGGCGTAGCTTCGATTGGCATATATATATATATATCATACATGTGCGCTTCTTAGTGAGTTGTACTCTCAGATCACGTTGTTTTCTCAAACTCTCTAAAAGATTAGGACCAACCGGGCTCGATGTCCTATATGGTCACGTCTCACTAGTCCATACAGGCGTCCACTAAGTAATAGCTATTTTGAAGCGAGATCCGTTTAGCATCATAGACGTAACCTTGGAACAGGCGAAACTGTGAAATATTTAGTTTGTTTGTTTATTGTTCCATAGAAGTTTGATGAAATGCTAATCAAATACTTCGCTGTTCCATATATATGCCGATGACCCTATGAAATTGGTTATAGTATAAAATCCAGTAGCTTTAGTTGCTGATCCGTGCATTTCCAAACAACACTGAATGTTTCCTAATATTCGATAATAATCCCAATATATTATAAATCATCCTAAAAAACCTAAAAAAGAACCGGAAAAAAATCAACATAAAAAAAACGGAGTACAGCCAGACTTTCCGCGATATTCGAATTATTTAAATTGTTAAGGTACGTCAAATGTATTTGTCATACTATTTTCAGCTCCATTAATTATACTTCAGTTTACTACTTCTGTAGATGCATTTTTGTTCTGAGCTTTTTCAGCTTTATTTACGTTCCATATATTGCAGAATGCTGATATATAATCGTAGCAGCGACGGGAGAAGAAACCCACTTTTAACCATAAGCATATGTTTGTTACATAACGTTATTCTTACACAGGCAAATAAAGATGTCCGGAATAGTAACAGAACAACTAAATTGGTGTAGCTGTCAATAAAAGAGACTCAAAAGGTGATTTTTGAAACTAATCAGGATGTCGAGTCCGAGAAGATAGACGACAGATGTCTCTCTAAATGTGTTGTTTGTAGAAAAATCACGGCTGGCTGCGTGTATCTAACGTTCTTGCTAAAACAGTACATACACACATAAATAAGGAAAAAACAAACGTAGATTTTTTTAACGTTAACCAGTCAGGAACACGCGGCGCACGTAGGTACTCTTGTTTGCATACATATATTTCATCGGCCATCTCTCTCTCGCTCCCTCTCTCTCTCTTACACTTTAAGGGGGCAGCACTGTTTCAAAATGAACTTGCTTGTATACAACAACATAAAGACTTGCGAAACAAAAATTAGAAAATAGTATAGCCAAAAATTATAAAATTGCAGGAACGAAGATGGCCATCAGCGGTATGAGAAAAGATAGCAAAATATCGCTGGGGGGAACGTTTGGTAGATTCGGTAGTCACGGCTACAATGAAACCTTAAAGAAAATTTAACAGAAAAGTAGTCAAAGAGCAATTTTAAAAGAATCGCAGTACCTATTCAGACAACACAACTACACAGAAATTAATATGAACTTGACCAGTAATTAATTACAAACTAGATTGGCATCCGTTACTGTTACACTCATATATACAATCCAACAGAAACGATTGTTTAAATATACATCGATCGATAGCGTAACCGTTGTTATTACTAAATGCTTTGTTCGTTCGGTACAATGTTTCCCAGAAGTCTTTATCTCACCGAATCAACGCAGCCATGCTGTTCATCAATGCGTTCAATAGGGAATCGTGCGCTAGCGTACATAAGTAAATACGATGTAAAACAATTATCCATCTATTCGATCAACAAAATGAACGGAGCGAAGAAGTCTGCAGGTATATGAAAAAATGCTTCATTATTTAATACGGGAGAAGAATGGGGTCGACTTCATTAACGACATGTATAGCGACAACATTCGAAAATATATGTTCTAGTTTTTATTTAACAATAAAAAACAAAAATAAAATATAAAGTAAACACACTTTTTTAATATAAATTCATATTCATTATAAATCGCACAAGGATAGCGTGGAAGTATCGGAAAGATAAATGTAAGTTATCCGAAATCCTTGCGAAGCTACAGATGCACGTAGGTTATAGAGCTTTATGAGCGAATAACTGGCAAAGTTATGATCACAGAACTGGAAAGGTTCGTTTTGCATGTTTTTACGCTAATATTTTTTCATGATAATTCATCACGAGATTCTTCTGATTGTTGATGCTACAGACACCTAGTAGTTTCCACAAATTTGAAGTGTATACCTTAACTGTATGTGCACACTAACCTAACAAATTCCATAAAACAACAAAGGGCCATTTTAATTACTGAACTCGCGAAAAAAACTTATATACGAAATTTTAGCAAGAACGTTGATTCTTTTCGTTAGACTTAGTTTTCTACGTTGTAGTTCCGAAAGGATTTATTTGGATATTGATGGTTATGCACGAAGGAACAAACCGGTACAATATGTCTCAGAAAATTGACAGAGTCAACAATCAGACCTAGACCTTTTGTGAAGTCTGTTCGACGGCTTAAACGTCTAACTAGGGCTATGCTGTCGTGTAAAAAATTTCGCTAATTAATATTATAGATATACGTATATAATAAAATGATCAGCAAACACCCAGATCGCTCAAAAATTCTACAAGCGAAGAGATGATATAACGAGAAAGCGGTAATGCCAGAAAGAGAACAGCTAGTCGGCTGCCAACTGGGACTTTGAGGCAGGTCGAAGCTGATATTTAGGGAGGGTAAAAATTGGACACAGACACACACACACGTGTATATATATATATGTGTGTGTGCCTTGTATCTACAAACACAACGGCACACAGCAGTAAATAAACGCATGTTAGAAACACGCCAAAAAACATCAACTATTTGTTAGCTAAAGAATCTAATGGAGCAGAGACAGCAGCTACATGAAGCGCTTGCTGAAATTCGGCTATACGAGTATGTTTCTATAGGTAGCAGTTATACACGCTGATGAACTATGATTCATATTATTCTTACTAAATTGATAATTATGATGATAATACTACTTATTACTAAGACATAAAGATGATCTGTGTATATATAAAGAAAGATAGTTATTGTCAACTCAAGAAGTCGTGTAGGGAAATTCCGGTGAAGCGTACTCGCAATAGCTCCGGTTTCTTTTTCTCTGTGATATGAGATGAGTGTGACTTCGAGGTGGCTGCCGTGTGTTGTAGGGGCAACGTCGTTGACAGAGGCAAGGGGCAACTTGCGACCACACAATGAAATCACACAACCAGATCTAAACTATAGCGAATAACGCCTGTAGAATCTTTTGTGGGGATAAGTGTATATGGAAATGTCGTTAATTAAAGAAACACCATCGACAATGATAATATTGAATTAACGTGTAGGAATAAAGTGCGAACGCGTTTACAAGAACGACATGATAACATTAGTACGTTATTTCGTTCTTCGGTTCATTGTGTTATAACTTTGGTTTGTAAATGCTGAATTCCTTAAAAAAGTCAAAATAAAAGCAAATATGCGGATGATACATTTGTGGGTCTATTCTAGGAAAAACATTACGCACTGATGATAATAACCATACACTGTTAATGTCCATTGTCAGCAACAGCAAAAGAACTAAAGGGAACATGCAATTCGCCTGAGAGAAAGGTGTCCAATTAAAAAAAAACAACCAAGAAAAACAAAACTACAATTAATTCGATAGTCTAAAGGGATGGTAAAGACAAATGCATCCTACTGTTTGCTTTCAAGTACATGTTATAGAGTTTTGAATGGAATTAATTGGTGTATCGGTAATCAATAAACTGTTCTACGAGGCGGATACGATGAACCTAATGTAATTCTGCCTAGAGAGAAGGTGGACAGTGCGTGATTACAATATAGTCATGATTAAGAACTTGATAGACAAACAAAAACTTTGTACAAGCTGGTGACTTTTGAGAATAGCCGATAGGAGAGGAGGATAGGAGAGGCAGAAAACCGAAATGGGAAACGGAACACCGGCGAAGCGTCGATCGTTGTAGACGATGCAAGCGATCCAGTTTGGCAGAATCCTATAAAGGAGCTAAATACGACTGCCTGTGTCCATACACCGAATGGAAGAACGGCCTCGTAATATTTAATGTAAAAATTGTAAATGCTAAAACGAACTATTTGGGCCTACGAGGTGAGTTAAAAGCATCTATTAATACTATAACGACGATTATTATCAAGATAATAATTATTAATAGGCTAAATAAAGGAGGTACATGCATG